GGAGCTCATGCCCGGGGGCGCTGCCCTACCTGAATGCCAGGAGCAGGAGCAAGGCGAGCAGCAGGGAGACCAGCGAGAGGGAGTAGCCCACGGTGTCCATCAGCCGGAACTGCTCCAGGAGCCGCATCTGCAAAGCGACGGAGGATCAAGCCCAGCTCCATGCCCCTCCCTGCGCCCCCTCCTGCCGCCCCACCCCGGATGCTGGGAGCAAGGGCAGGGAGGCAGACAGGGGGTCTGCACTGATCTGCAAACGGGGCCAGGCTGGGAAGCCGCGGCCTGTGGCCGGCAGGGGGAAGAGCCAAGCACAGGCCCGCACGAGATTTCACGCCATCGGGCACGGGACCCATTTACTGCTGGCCACCCTGGGACTGCGGCCCCTGTCAGAGCCCTAGGATGATTTGGGGCGGCCGCCCCAGCCCCTGCACTTCTGGGAACCTGCTTCCCCGCTTGGGACGGTCTTGGCCCCTGCAGTCCCTCTGCTGTCGCGGGCTCCTACACACCGACGGATCCAACCCTGCACCCCAGGTTCCCGCAGCAACCCCCCCACACTGCAGGAGCCCGGGCGCTGGCCTCTGGCACCCACCTGGAAGGGGTGGTCTGTGCTGACATCCTCGCACTGTGAGTGGTCCCTCCAGGGCAGCCCCGAGTCGTCCATCACCCACTGGCCAGCTGGGCCGCAGAGCCGCATCACGAACCCGCCGCGCACTGCCGGGCAGGAGATCAGAGGGAGCCAAGGGCAGGAGAGGAGGGGCTCCACCACGGACCCCCCCCTGCAAGCGGTCTGCATCCTCGGGGGTGAGTCCGTGACGGTCCCACCCGCTACTGCTAAGATCAGCAACAGCTTCGGCCCAGAGAGCAGGTCGCTGCAGGACGGCCGAGGGGTGGACCCGGGAAAGGGGCGTGTGGAGGTCTGAGCCCCGGCGGAAGGGATACTCACCACGGTCGTGCCAGGGCAGGTACCACGGGCAGGGCACCATGGCGGTGGTGTTGGGTGGCGTGTCCCTCCAGCAGGCGTACATGTCGAAGGTCCGGTTACACACCAGGCCTGGGAGGGGGCCAAGAGGAGAGGCGGCTTTACACACCAGCACAGAGATGGGCAAACGCCGTGTGCAAATCACACTCCCACGTGTGTGACCCATGCCCGGCAAGCAGGCCTGTGCAAACGTGTGCGTCAGCCACATAGGCACTCCAACTCCCTTGTGCAAACACCGGTATGTGCAAATCACGGGCACGGGTGTAAACCATGCACGCAAACACCCTTGTGCAAACACAGATGTGCTAATCACAGGCAGGTGTGTAAACACACCCACAAACACGCCTATTCAAACACAGATTACGTGCTGTGGCCGAGTGGCAGAGTTCCCCCGAACATGCAGCCCCGTAGCAGCAAGAACAGACTCCACCAGCCAGTAGAACAGAGGGGCTGTGTCTAGACTGGCAAATCAGCCGCTTTTCCGGAAAAACTTGCCAGCTGTCTACACTGGCCGCTTGAATTTCCGGAAAAACACTGACGAGCTCATGTAAGATCGACAGTGATTTTCCGGAAATACTATGCTGCTCCCCTTCGGGCAAAAGTCTTTTTCCGAAAGACTTTTGCGCAAAAGGGCCAGTGTAGACAGCACAGTACTGTTTTCCGCAAAAAAGCCCCAATCGCGAAAATGGCCAGCGGGGCTTTTTTGCGGAAAAGCGCGTCTAGATTGGCCACGGACGCTTTTCCACAAAAAGTGCTTTTCTGGAAAAGTGTCCTGTCAATCTAGACACGCTTTTCCGGAAAAGCTTTTAATGGAAAACTTTTCCGTTAAAAGCATTTCCGGAAAATCATGCCAGTGTAGACGTAGCCAGGGGGTTTATTGCTTTTCCAGGATGGAGCACAGCATAGACGGGACGTGGCGGCAGGAGTATGGGCCAGGATGCCTCAGACCCTTTGAGATGGGGTCCCTGGGCCCCTAGACTCCCAGCCCCCCCTTTAGTCTGTCTCCTTCATGATTCCAGCCAGCAACTGCCCCTTCCCCCAACTCTCACTTCCTTTGTTCCCTCCCTTCCCTTAACCGGTAGAACCGGTTTGGTCACTATCATGGGGGCCCTCAAAGCGCCCCCGGCCCTCCCCTCCCCC